ATATATATATATATATTTCAGAGAGGAAGGGAGAGGGAGAGAGAGATAGAAACATCAATAATGAGAGAGAATTATTGATCAGCTGCCTCCTGCATGTCTCCTATTGGGGATTGAGCTCTCAACCTGGGCATGTACCCTGACCAGGAATCAAACCATGACCTCCTGGTTCATAGGTTGATGCTCAACCACTGAGCCACTCCGGCTGGGCTCGAATAATTGTGATTTTGTTTGCTATATAAAGTAGAGTGGCCCCTGCTTTCTTGGAGGCCCTGGGACACCTGATATCTAGATGTGGGAGTCAGAAATGTCTCTCAGACTGATGCCCATGGGAGAGGATGTGAGAGAGGACTGAGGACAAACTGGAGATCCAGAAATTATCTCCTTGAGGGAAGTCTATTCTTCAGAGAATGTTGTCACCAGGGGTGATGGTAGTCATCAGTAGCTATTAAATGCCAGTGAGTACAGTTCACATTTTCTCCCACCAGGTTGGAACAAATATTAGAAATTAATGAGGGTTAAGTCTTTAGCTCTGTGCCCGGCAAAGAGCTGTCTACTATTAAATGTTCCCTGTATTGACTAGGTGGCCCACAGACTTCAGGGTCCCCTGACCCATCGCTGCCAACCAACCCCCTTTCAGGGCTATCTATGTCTCTTTGGGTCCCATTTCCTGCTCTGCATTTCCAGGTGTCCACCGGGTCCATTGTTAATCAGGGTAAGAGGGACTTTGGTCAAATCCTCCACCACAAATGCCATTGGGAGCTAAGCAGAGGGCCTGCTCTGGACAAATGCATTATATATTCATCCAGTGCTCTCCAGGCCGCTCCGATGGGAGCCCTGTGTTTGCACCCACTCCCCATAAGCTCTGCTTTGAGTACAGGCTCCAGACAGTTGGCTATGGATGCGTTGTCACCTGGACGTGGATCATAAGGGCAACTCAGGGCACATACAAGAATCAACCAGGAAATGCATGTATAAGTGGAACAGCATATCGATGTCTCTCTCTTTCTCTAAAAACATATATATAATTTGTCCATTTCATAGCTGAAAAAGGACTCATTTCTTCTTGCAGTATGCACAGGACAGTTCTGGGGTGATCCACGTCATGCTGAATGGTTCAGAGCCAACAGGAGCCTATCCCGTAAAAGGGTAAGAACGTCAGCACCAACCAATACAGTAGAGATGCCAAAATGTTTATCTAGTTGTTTTGGAAGGAGGCTTATGAGAATGGTCCTAATCCCCAACTTAAGCAAAACCATTGAAAGACCTGGAGATCAGATATACTGGTATGTTTATCCAGTTACACCATTAACAGATGATGAATGCATGAATGAAATAAGTAACCTAAAAAGTTAAAGCTAAAAAATAGCCCCCAAAGACTTGAAAAAAAAAAAAGTATTGTGTAACTCAGCTAACATTGAAATGGCAAAAGTATCATATTGCTTTAGGACTTTGAGAAATGTCTTTCCTGTTTTTCAGGTTTTTTGCAGATTTTGAAATTCCCTACCTCCAGAAGGATAAAATCACACGAATTGAGATCTGGATTATGCATGAAATCGGGGGACCCAACCTGTAAGCTATGGTGCTCTTGCGGAGGGTAATCCTGCAAACCTGCTTTTCCCAGAGGGGATATGCTTGTCTGTTTTGCACTTTCATTTTTGGGAAAACAATATTCTCTTTTTAAAATTTTTTTATTGATTGATTTTAGAGAGAGGAAGGAAGAGAGAGAGAGAGAGAGAGAGAGAGAGAGAGAGAGATCTGTTGCACTTAGGCATTCATCGGTTAATTCTTATATGTGCCCTGACCAGGGATCAAACCTGCAGCCTTGGTGTATCAGGATGATGCTCTAACCAACTGAGCTATTGTGCTCCCAGTAAAGTGAGGCAGGGCCCTGCCTTTGGTATGAATATGAATATCATGCCTGTTGGCCACACCTGTTTGCCTTTATACAACCCAACCCCTGCTTAATCACAAAGGGGGGGGGCAGCAAGAACCCCTGTTGATGAAAAAGTGGGGAAATGGACACCTCATACTCTGCTGGGGTGATCAGCTTGGGGTTCAGTGTGGTGGTGCCTATCAAGAGCCTTAAAATACATTCAAATCTTGGTACCAGAAAACCTACTTTCAGGACTTGATGCTAAGGAAGCAAATAATGAAGGATGTGTATAAAAATGAAGCTTTATCAAGGTTTGTTGTAGTGTGCATGAGATTGAAATATACGAATGAACTTGATCTTTAAGAGGTGTCTGGTTTTAGGGATTATGTTCCAATTATGGAAGGGAGTGTACATAGGAATTAAGAACAAGGGCAGGCATGTCTGTATGTCCACAGACAAGGGCAAATGCAGAAAACGAAATGCACAGACAGCAAAACTCCACTGTTATATTTCAAATCTCATGGGTATAAGTATATTTAAAAGGTCTAGAATGACATACATCAAAATATTAGCAGCAGTTACCTCTGGTGATGTAAGATTTGTTTGTTTTTTTCCCCCTTTTGTTTATTTGCACTTTCTAATGTTTTTTTGAATTGCATGTTTTGTTGCCATATAAAGCTTAACTTAATAGGTAGGTAGGACAATTGGCAGTTGGCACCAATACAGTAGAGATGCCAAAATGTTTATCTAGTTGTTTTGGAAGGAGGCTTATGAGAATGGTCCTAATCCCCAACTTAAGCAAAACCATTGAAAGACCTGGAGATCAGATATACTGGTATGTTTATCCAGTTACACCATTAACAGATGATGAATGCATGAATGAAATAAGTAACCTAAAAAGTTAAAGCTAAAAAATAGCCCCCAAAGACTTGAAAAAAAAAAAAGTATTGTGTAACTCAGCTAACATTGAAATGGCAAAAGTATCATATTGCTTTAGGACTTTGAGAAATGTCTTTCCTGTTTTTCAGGTTTTTTGCAGATTTTGAAATTCCCTACCTCCAGAAGGATAAAATCACACGAATTGAGATCTGGATTATGCATGAAATCGGGGGACCCAACCTGTAAGCTATGGTGCTCTTGCGGAGGGTAATCCTGCAAACCTGCTTTTCCCAGAGGGGATATGCTTGTCTGTTTTGCACTTTCATTTTTGGGAAAACAATATTCTCTTTTTAAAATTTTTTTATTGATTGATTTTAGAGAGAGGAAGGAAGAGAGAGAGAGAGAGAGAGAGAGAGAGAGAGAGAGATCTGTTGCACTTAGGCATTCATCGGTTAATTCTTATATGTGCCCTGACCAGGGATCAAACCTGCAGCCTTGGTGTATCAGGATGATGCTCTAACCAACTGAGCTATTGTGCTCCCAGTAAAGTGAGGCAGGGCCCTGCCTTTGGTATGAATATGAATATCATGCCTGTTGGCCACACCTGTTTGCCTTTATACAACCCAACCCCTGCTTAATCACAAAGGGGGGGGGCAGCAAGAACCCCTGTTGATGAAAAAGTGGGGAAATGGACACCTCATACTCTGCTGGGGTGATCAGCTTGGGGTTCAGTGTGGTGGTGCCTATCAAGAGCCTTAAAATACATTCAAATCTTGGTACCAGAAAACCTACTTTCAGGACTTGATGCTAAGGAAGCAAATAATGAAGGATGTGTATAAAAATGAAGCTTTATCAAGGTTTGTTGTAGTGTGCATGAGATTGAAATATACGAATGAACTTGATCTTTAAGAGGTGTCTGGTTTTAGGGATTATGTTCCAATTATGGAAGGGAGAGTACATAGGAATTAAAAACAAGGGCAGGCATGTCTGTATGTCCACAGACAAGGGCAAATGCAGAAAACGAAATGCACAGACAGCAAAACTCCACTGTTATATTTCAAATCTCATGGGTATAAGTATATTTAAAAGGTCTAGAATGACATACATCAAAATATTAGCAGCAATTACCTCTGGTGATGTAAGATTTTTTTTTCCCCTTTTGTTTATTTGCACTTTCTAATGTTTTTTTGAATTGCATGTTTTGTTGCCATATAAAGCTTAACTTAATACACTGTAGGTAGGACAGTTGGCAGTTGCACTGGTCAGGGGCACTTCACGGAGGACTGTTGGTGGGTGGGGCCAAGAAACCTTGTGACGCACCTAGCACCTGCGCATGATCCTGCAAGGCCCTCCCGGGGCACTCGACATGCAGCCTTTGGACTGGGTGTTGGGTGCTCAGAGCAGCCCCTTTGGGGTGCTGAGGGGTTACTGCAAGCAGCACTTTTGGGTCCAGATATTTCTCCAGAAGAGGAGACTATCCCAGAAGCCCATGGCCAAAATACATTTTAATTAACCTAGAAAAGACTCCTTCCGTCCTCTTATTTTGTATTTCTGTGTTTGTGTTTTAGGGAATCCTGTGGAGAAGGCAGTGTGAAAATCCTGGAAGACAGACTGAAGGGGATGGGTTTTCAGTACAGCTGTACTAATGATCACCTGTACGTGTCACATTATCATCAGTGCAGATCATCGGTGGTTTTGGAGGGTAGGGGGTTGTTGAAAGGGTTTTAGGGGCATCAGCTCTGAAGACCAAGGGGCCGTGCCTTCTGGGTTGTCACTGGGTGGGGGGAAGGTAGGTGCCTTCTGGCCAGGGTTCTGCCTGGCTCCACCCACTTCGGTCCAGAGCCCTTTTTAATTATGGAAGGACAGAGGGAGCAGCCCTTTCTCATTTGCGCATATCCAGTGTGCCCTTCACCTGGGAAGGGCACAGTGAGTAACCCGTGAACAGGAAGCATGGTGCCTGCACCTTTGAGTGCCACACGCCTGTGGGGTCCTTCCCCATGACAGGTGCTAAGGTGGCGTTTGTCTGAGATACTTGCAGGCAGGTACATCTTGACTGTAGGCCAATAGGAAAATAGTACTAGCTACCGTTGAGTGAGCGCATTGTGGGCCAGAAACTTTATGTACTTAAAATCAGATATCGTTTGCGGGCATTTCTGATTCTTGGAAATGTTGATGAGTTTGGCTCAAAGCCTGGGAGAGTGGGAAGCCCTGCCTTCAACTGGGAATTCCTCACCTATGTCTGCTCCCTGCTTGGTTCCTGGAGACTGGAGTCCAGCACTTCAAGGCTTAGCGGCTCTCCCCAACGTCTGAGGGTGAGGCAGGGTGCCAGTTACCGCTGCCTCTCCTCCGGCGCCCACAGCCGTCCAGCTGGCTCTGCCACCCTCCGCCTTCTCAAGGACGCCAGGGGCTGGGTAATCTTCCCGTTCGAGCGAAGCCCCTGGAAGTGTGGGTCTCCCCCAACTCCTGCCTCCCCAGGAAAATGAGTCCCTCAAAGCTGTTCTCTTAAACCCACAACTCGAAGTTGTCCATTTTATTCATCTATTGTTGTTAATGCTTTCAGTAAGCTCAGCAGTCAGCTGTTGTTACCACCCAAAGGCATGTGAAAGCTAATAATCTTTTTTTAAAAGAAATATATATACAGAAAAATGTACAAACCATAGACATCCAGTTGAATGAATTTTCACAAGTTCAACATACACGTGTAACCAGCACTCAGATCAAGAAACAGAATGAAACTGGGACCCCAGTGCCTTCCCTGGCCTCCCTTTCAGTATCTCTCTAAACGAGCAAGGTCATGGGTTGGTTTTGTCTGTTTTAAAGCTTTATATAAATAGCCCCATTTTATGGATGTGCAGAGTAAGGATCAGAGAGGTTAAGTAAGTTTCCCAAGGTCACCGTTCAGTGGCAGACAGACCTGAGTTTTGAACCCAGCATTGTGTGGCCTTGAAGCGTGCTCTTCCTTTCTTCCTATTGTAGGACTCTTCTTTCTTCATGCACCAAATTTTAGTAAATTTTGTAAAAGTTATTTCTTACTTTCAAACAGCTCAAGGGTGGAGAAAATTGTGGCTAAAAATTTCACATTGATGGCCACTTTGCTTTGGTTCAGGAACGTCCGGAGGAGGCTGTCTTATTTTAAGTCATTGATCCCGGTGGGAGGCCCTGCCAGAGTCCAAGTTCTCCTTCCTGGCTCACAGCTGCCCTCAGGGTCTCAGCCTGTTTTTATTTCCCCTTTTAGGTCCCCGCCTAAGCTGGCCTCAGGACTGTAGCCTTGATGCCCGGCCCAGCTCCCATTTCTTTACTGCCCTTGAGCTCGGTCAGTGTTCAGGTGGTCTTTGTGTTGCTCCTGGGAGCATAGAGGAGGTAACAGAAAATTTAAATGACAGAGATTAACGAATCAGACTCTAAGCTCCTTGTACATGAGAACTCCTGCCCCTCAAAATGTGGGTGATGTAGCCTCTTGCAAATTTTGACGAGGTCTTATCTTTGCATACCCCGTCTTGGCTCCTGGTTGGTTTCTGCTTAGCACTGTACTGAACCAGACTTAGTACAACTCCATGAGTTTTGGAGGGCACAACACAATAACTACTTTATAAAAATAGCTGTGTTGTATAGACTTTACTGAAAAGTGGGCATGTCCTCCGGAGGGGTCATGTAGCATGTCATAGAGTGAACAATGTATTTCCTGTTCACCCAAAGTCCCCTCCAGTCACCCTGCCATGAGAGAGCCTCTCTTGGGGCTGCCTCCTATCTAATGTCCAGTGTGCCACCTCTGCCTTGCTCCTCTGTTGTCTGCTGTTTCCCTCCCCCGCCCCCCAGCTGCCCGGGGACCCCACATCTTCCTCTTCCATGGTCCATAGTTTAGCTTGCTTTGCTGAAGCCTGGACAACAGCCATCATCCATGTGCTTCAAGTCCAACCTTCTGCCCTCATTGAGGGTTTTTCCCCAGTAAAATAGTACATCCATGCAGAAGTGCATCCATGCTTGGGCCCCAGAGTGAGCCTGCAAGGTTCAAGTTCAGCTCCCCGACTTGCTACTGTGAGCACGTGGGCAAGTCCTGTGGACAGCTTTCTCCACTGTAAACTGGAGATGATAATAGTACCAGTTCTATGTCGTTGTTGTGAGGATTCAATGATATAATTGATGTAATTAATATATGTAATTCTCGGTACATAATGCTGGCTAATATTTTTTAAAAGAAACTGTGTTCTTCACAGGTCAGAGACTTTATGTCCCTAGGATTTTGCAGGAACACCACAAACATTTGATGATTGAAAGCCATTTAAACAATCCCTTGCCAGGGAGAGGTCAATGGGGGAAAAAGGAGACTCATGTAATACTTCAAACAATAAAAGGAATTAAACAAACAAACAAAAACGAATCCCTTAAATCTTTTCATTCTATAGGCCGGTGAAGCTCTTAATGTGTGTGAACCACAGCACGCATCCTGACTGTGCCTTAACTTCGTAAGTAAATGTCCTAACCCGACCTCATTGCTTCCCCCGGGATACCCAGTCCTTACTCTATAGAACACGGATGAATTGCAATATGAGTTGCTAAATGCCGACTGTAGGGTCAGGTTTGCACTTCTTTGGCCTGGTGCAGGTATGACCCAGCTGAGCCTAACTCCCACCATGCACTGCAGAGCTGAGCCTGCCCTGGTGCAGCAGAAATTCTAGGAGGACCTTTTAAAATGATTTCTTATTCCTAATATGTTATAAAATTACATACATTTTTTTGGGGAAAGGTAAAGCATATGCATGGGATGAAATTCATAGTATAAAAAAGTTGAGAAAGCGAACAATTTTCCTTCCTCTGTTCCTAGCCATCCAATTCCCTTACCACCAAAGTATAAGGTGGGTGCCCCTTCCCCCCCCCCCCCCCTTTTTTTCAATTGGGTAGTAGTGTGAATCCTGACAGTTTTTTTTCTTTTTTTGTAGCTCAGTGCCTGATTATGCTTTGATTGCTGAAACATCCACTTCTACAATGGCTATTTCCAGTGGACAAGCCACCAGCCACAAGACTGAAGAGCCAGCGCCCAGCCCCCTTTGAGTTCACTGAGTTTTAGAGATCTTGGTTGATTCAATAACTGCTCATTCAGGCCACTGTTTTTTCTACTTGCTCTCGCTTTAAATCCCCTCTCTTAAGTTTTAAATTCACCAGTAAAGACTGAGTCCCCAAAACCCTAGGCCTTCACCCATGACCGGAGTAAAAGCAGAACCCCAGACCTGTGTGTGTTCTCGCTCTACCCACAACTTCACTGTGTGTCCCAGGTACGCTGGGTAATTTCCAGGTCCTATAAGTAATAAACTTTCCCCCCTCAAAGTTCTGTGATGGTTATTGCTAAAGGGCATTTTGCAACCATGAGAAGAACCACAAGGGTTGGCACAGCCACAGTGCTGGATATTGGGAAGCTGAGGCTGGCACAAAACATGGGGATTATCTATGTCTGAATCTATACCTGTACCTAATTCTAGGTAGACTTACAGGTAAAACATAGTGCTTTATTGTCATTTTCATTTGTGTTGGCAGGAAGATTTCCCTTTCATTTCTTTCCATCTGCTAAAATCATACTTACCTTTGAGGACCCAACTCCAAATGCCCCTCTCTACAGGGCTTTCTGAGTCTACAGGGAGATGGAAGAGCTCCCTTCTCTGTGCTCCAAGGACTTTGTACTTAGCTTGAAGACAGTACTTCCGCTTTCTAGCCTCGTTACATTACATTCCACACCATCTGTCTGCTTCTCTTGGCTTGGATATCGCATCAACGTCCTCTCTGTGTGTCTCATAACAGTTGCACATAGTAGGTGCTCCATGAATGTCTGCTGGATCCATTTGTCCATCCACAAGGGGAAGAGAACTAATCAGGGCTGGACATCAGCGGTGTGCCAGGCATTGTGCTATGTGCCTTGCATAGAATGTTTCCTTCATCCTTTTAACTGGTCCATCAGACAGAAAGATAGAAAATGCTCATCAGCCCCATACAGCTCTTCTCCCCTTCACTTAGTAGCAGAACTTTTGCATTTTTGGTCAGATTCATGACTGCCAAGAAAAACGAGTGTCCTTCCTAACCTCCCTTTCACTGTGGCTGCGTGATGTGTGCGGCTCCTGGGTGAAGCACTGGAAAGGAAGGGGAAGGAAGCCCTTTCCTCCTGATGGGCGTATGGACCCAGAAGATGTGGTGCTGAGCCATCTCCAAAGGGGCGTGTGCCCTGGATGGGGCTGGAGCCACCTGGACAGTTACTGAGAGAGAAATGAACATCTGTCTTGTCTAAGCCATGAAGATTTGGGGTCATTTCCACAGTAACCAAACCTGAATATGAACCAGTGAGGGTAGTTTCTGATATGCTTCTGTCAGAAATGGAGAACCTCTGGTTCAGAGAAACTACTGAAGAACTCCCTCAAGACCACCCAGCAGTGAGTGGGTCTGAAGCCATGGTCACCAACTTTCCGGACCTCACGGACCACGGATTGGTGACTCACAGTAACCAAACCTGAATATGAACCAGTGAGGGTAGGTTCTGATATGCTTCTGTGGTCACCAACTTTCCGGACCTCACGGACCATGGATTGGTGACCGCTGGTCTGAAGCAAGTCTGAGGTTTCCAGAGTCCACTCTGGCATATATCCTTGGAGCTAATACCCAGGGATGGCTGGTGAGCTGAAGTCCTATGAATTTGACATGCATTATTTTGGAGTCTACTCATAGGAGATGGACCTGACTTTCTTCACCTGATAAAGAAACCCACTGTCTCATTCCCGCTGCTCCAAGACCATCAAGGTTCCTTACCAGCAAGTCCAAACTGCTAGCCTGGCCTTCCAGGTGCTCCAGTGCAGGATAGCTTTGATCCACTTCCCTAAAGACAGCTTTCTGCCCATCTGGGCACACTGACCCTTCAGGTAGAGTAAAAGCACTGCAGTAGGAATTCGATGACCTCACCCACAAAACTAAAACTAGTGGAAAACGTCTCTGAGTTATTGGGAAGATTGAATAAATCAATGTGTATAGAAGCTCCCGATGTCCTTTCTAGACAGGACACTAGGAAGACTCTCAGAGCCTGGGATGGGTGCAGCATTCTAGTTCTTAAAGTTCAAGTAGGGAGCTCATTGGTTGAAATTCTGAATTGCAGGTATCACACATCAGCCCAGGTAGTTCAGGGTAGATGGGATATATATAGTAAAGAGTTTTAGGTCACTCACAGAATCTTTCTGAGAGAGCCAGAGAGGCAGGACTGGAGGTCAATCAAAGTGTCATCCAGAACTGCCCCAGGGAAGACCTCACTGCAGCCTGTGTGAGTTCTCAGAGTACCTGTGTTGCTCACACCTGGGTGCTTCTTCTAGAATTTCTTCCTTGGAAAGCTGTTGCCTTGGGTACTGCTGAGGCTAGAATGGACCCCGAGTGGCACCTGTTGTTTTAATCTACTGTGTTCACATATATACAGATGTACCCAGATGTGGGTATATCTGGTCGGTAGAGTTTTGGTCACATGTTTTGGCTCTTACCTGCAAAGGAGTTTGGGAAATTGAGTATCTGTGTTAAATTCAGTCTCATGGCTTTCAATTTCATCAATATGCTGGTGACTCCAAAATGAATACATGTAGTTCAGGCCTTCCACTGAACTCCACACTTGTATATTCAACAGTCTACTCAATAGTCCCTCTTAGATGCTGCATAGATACTTCAAACTCAACACACCCCAAACTGAACTCCTGAATATACCCACAGTGATAGGCTAAGCCATGACATCCAAAGATATCAGCACCCAATTCCTGAAACCAGTGAATTTTACCTTCTATTTATAGATGAGGCTTTGCCGATGGGATTAAGTGTCTTGAGATCAGGGCTTATCCTGTGTTACCCAGGTGAGCCCTAAATGTAATTATAAGTTTCCTTTTAAGATGGAGGCAGAGGGACATTGACATGGATGAGGAGAAAGCTGGGTGATAGTGGAAGAGAGATTAAGTGATGCACTTTGAAGATAAAAATCAAGGACTCAGATTCTTCCCTCAGGAGGTCCCTGGGAAGGAGCCAGCCCCACTGACACCTGGTGAAACTGGTTCCTGACTTCTGGCCTCCAGAGCTGTAGGAGAGTTAATTTGTGTTGTTTTGAGCCACTAAATTTATTAGGGCAACAATAGGAAACTAACACCCCTAAACTTGGTCTACCCATAGTCTTCCTGTCTCAATTGATAATAATGCCCACCCTTCCAAAAACCTCCAAATGCCCCTTCCAAAAACCTTGAGCCACCTTCACTCCTTTTCTTCTCTCACCCCTCTGCAGAAAATCCTGCAGGTCCAACTTACAAAATTGCTGAAGTATGCAGTCATCTACTGTGACCAGCCTGTTTTGAGTGGCTGTCATCTGTCACCTGGATTATGGACCCCACCTCCTGCTTCCCTTCTCTGATTTCTCTCCTTACTCCCCCTGCTCTCACTGAGCCCCAGCCACAGTGGACTTCTGGAACATGCCAGGCACATCCTCACCTCAGGGCTTAGCCCTCGCTGTGTCCTCTCCCTAGAAGTCCTTCCCAAGCTCTCCATGTGGCTGCCCCACTTCTGTATTTGTTCATGCCTCTCCTCTATGAGATTACCTTGACTTCAGTATCTAAAATTACAACCTGCAGACTGTGAACTTTATACGGATACAGATCATGCAAAACTCCTCTTCGCAACACCCATTGCACTGTACACTGCTGCTCCTGAAATAGGAAAATGGTGCCACTCTGGCAGAGGTGCCTCAGTTTACCTCCCCTGCTGCAGGATGTGTAAGGTGAATGAGGGTGGCTCTTCTCACTGCCCTCAGGGCTTTCCGAGTGCTTTGGACGTCTCAAGCCTCCAGCCCAGCACTCAGGAGTCTTCACCTGTTTCATTCCTACCACAAATTCTTGCCAGGTGGGCAATTTGACCCCCAATGATGCTGAGGCTCAGAGAACATGGACCCAGGCATATAAAACAAATGAAGACAAAACCATGTTTCTATCTGTGCATAATAATGGGGGTAAATGATAGAAATAGGTCTGAGAAGATAAACTCCAAATTGCTAACTTCTAGGGAAGGGAGAACTGGAAAAGGTAAAAGGAGACTCTCATTACTACTGTGTTTAGTTTGGTATTACTCATTTTCTTAAAAAATAAATTTATCCTTTTATATATTAGTTAATTGCCTAAAAGCAAAAATAATGTAATCAATATTGAATGAATCAAGTTTGGGACATTAACTGAATCACAAGTGCAATTGTAGAAAATGTCCAGCAGGAGGAGCCCTGGTACAAGTTTGTGGGCTGCTGGGGAATTCCTTTAGCACAGCGGTTCTCAACCTGTGGGTCGCAACCCCTTTGGGGGTCGAACGACCCTTTCACAGGGGTCGCCTAAGACCATCGGAAAACACATATTGAATATATAATTACATATTGTTTTTGTGATTAATCACTATGCTTTAATTATGTTCAATTTGTAACAATGAAAATACATCCTGCATATCAGATATTTACATTACGATTCATAACAGTAGCAAAATTACAGTTATGAAGTAGCAACGAAAATAATTTTATGGTTTGGGGTCACCACAGCATGAGGAACTGTATTAAAGGGTCGCGGCATTAGGAAGGTTGAGAACCACTGCTTTAGCAGAAAGGGTGACCATCATGTGGCACGGGCCTGACCAATCAGAGCAGACACCCGGTGGCCTCATCAGGAGAGCCACTAGCCTTAGCAACTGGCCAGACATGTGGTGGGTACCAGCAGCAACTGCAGCAGGAGTGGGACTAACCCTGCTCATTGTTGTATCTTCAGCCCCTGGCTCAGTACTTGGCACGTGAAAGATGCTCAATAAATATCTGATGAGTAAATAAATGATTGTTCTCTGGGATTGACCTTTCTTTAGAGCCACATTTTTGGACAAAATGTGTTAAACCTTCCGAGACTTCCTAGCATGCCCTCCTCCAGGCCATGGATGCCAGTTAGTATTGCTTTGTCATGCGTCCAGCTTCGTGCAGACACTCAGGCACCTGATGGAACAGTGGATTCTTCCCTCAAAGCCAGAACACTCTGTGGGGAGGGGGTGTGGCAGGACCCTGTGTACACCAGCTTGGGTGCGACTAGGAACCAGGTTAAGCTCAGAGTGGGTTAAATAAATAGACTCTGGAAAGGAAGACTGTAAAGCAAGCCTGTCAAACTTGTGGCCCGCGGGCCGCATGCGGCCCAGCCAATATAACGGTATGTAAGAAACGTTTTAATTAAACTTTCGTAGCTTGATTTTTACAATATCCTGTTTTACATAATTATTAATAATGAACTACAACGTTTGCTAATGACTGATTACTACAT